AGGGGGTGCAAAATTTAACTTGGATTTGATGGACCCGCTTCCTGGGATGTTCCTCTAGCAAGGAGTCCTTCATATAGAGCAGGGGTAGTCAACCTTGGCTCTTTTATGACTCGTGGACTTCAACTCCCAGAATTCCTCAGCCAGCTGTGCTGGCTCAGGAATTCTGGGAGTTGAAGTCCACGAGTCATAAAAGAGCCAAGGTTGACTACCCCTGATATAGAGCAGTGTTTCTCAACCTGGACCGGTTTCTGAGGTGTGGACTGCAACTCCCAGAATTCCCCAGCCAGCAAGGCTGGCTGGGGAATTCTGGGAGTTGAAGTCCACACCTCAGAAACCGGTCCAGGTTGAGAAACACTGAGATAGAACACAGACATATCTGCAGGGGCTGAGATCCTGCCTTGCCTTTCGAGGTGCCCCCACGGAGGGCTTCGGAGAGCACACACCAGCACATAATGTGGTGGAAAGAGGACATTCGTCCCAGGAACGACCCCCAGTTTGATGTCACTTTCGTTGGGTGTTGAGCTGAGATTTTTGAACTGCCCCACCGCGGACATCTCCCGAGTCTTTTGGAATGAGGGGAGGGGGGCTGTAGTAAAGATAAGTAAATAAATAGTTTTGGAAACAAAATGTCTACGGAGGTTCTCCGTCCTCCAGGTCACTCTTGTCCCAAAGGTAATTTTTTCAAGAGTCAACTTGACTTTTTGTTTTTCCTTTGAAGAAGTTTCGCTTCTCCTCCAAGAAGCTTCTTCGGCTCTGACTGGATGGTGGGGAAAGGGAAGGATTTATACTCCTTGCAGACGGCTGGTCATTTGCCTTCTTTTGGAGAGTTGTTGAGGCCACCTGGAGGTTTATCTCTGTGTCCTCAGGGTCACCTGAGGGGTGCAAATGGGTGTGGAGCCTCCTTGGAACTGCTGAAAGGACTGTGTTGTAGACTGGAGGTACAGTAGATGGTGTCCTCAGCAGCTCCAAGAAGGCTCCACACCCATTTGCACCACTCAGGTGACCCTGAGGACACAGAGACAAACCTCCAAGTGGCCTCAACGACCCTCTTAAAAGAAGGCAAATGGTCAGTTTTTCTGCAAGGAGTATAAATCCTCCCATTTCTCTACCATCCAGTCAGAGCTGAAGAAGCTTCTGGGATGAGAAGCGAACCGTCTTCAAAGATAAAACAAGAAAGTCCAGTTGCCGCGTGAAAAAGCATCTTGGAAGCAAATCCACTGGGCATCTGAGGTCCATCAGCAGAATTTGGGGCAGGGGCATTTCCCGGAGGAGGCTGGATCTTGCTCTAAAAGTCCTTTCTGTAAAACGAGGGTTCTAGTCCTCATGGTTCAGCCACCACAAAAGTGGCCTGCATTGTACCCAGGAAGATCTCGAATTTTGGTCAGCGGGCGCAGTGTGCCAACAACAAGGGCGTTTCTGGCCCTGGCAAGACCCCTCCCCAAGAGCTGGGGGGGGGCTTCCCCTCCGCATGACCCCCTGCTGCTGTGTCTCTTCTAGGCACCGCGACGCTGAACCAGACGATCGACATTTGCAAGCATTTCACCAACCTCTGCTTGAACGGGCGCTGCATCCCAACCCCGTCCAGCTACCGCTGCGAGTGCAACATGGGCTACAAGCAAGACGTGCGGGGCGAGTGTATCGGTGAGCAAACCACAGTCTGTGCAAAGCCAGGCCAGTGCCGGTTCCTCAGGGTGAGGTTTGGTTCACAGCCAAGATGGATGATGCAGATCCCCAAAAAGTGAAGACGGTGGCTTTGACCGCCAGATCAAACTCCCGCCCCGTGATGCACAAAAAAAAAAAGCACCGGAGCTTCCATTGCGGACAAGGCCACCATTTTGACTTTTTGGGGACAGCCTTTCCTGCTGCCTGCCATTCAGACATGCATGTAGAAACTAAGCCAGGGACAAGATTTGCTCGGGAAAAAATTCTCTCTTGAGAAGATCGAAGCTGTTGCTGATGTGTGGACTTCAACTCCCAGAATTCCCCAGCCAGCGCGGTTGGCTAGGGAATTCTGGGAGTTGGAAGTCCACGCATCTTAAAGCTGTCAAGGTTGGGAAACCTTGGGTTAGATCAGAGGTGGGGAATTGCGGCCCCTTTATGACTTGTGGACTTCAACTCCCAGAATTCCTGAGCCAGCCATGCTAGGTAAGGAATTCTGGGAGTTGAAGTCCACAGGTCATAAAAGGGCCATAGTTCCCCCATGCTGGCTGAGGAATTCTGGGAGTTGAAGTCCACAGGTCATAAAAGGGCCATAGTTCCCCCATGCTGGCTGAGGAATTCTGGGAGTTGAAGTCCACAAGTCATAAAAGGGCCATAGTTTCCCAGCCCTGGGTTAGATGAACACAATTGTTGCCTGTTCTTCTCTTTGATTTAGGGTTAGCCTGTGCAAAGCCAGGGACATGAGTGTATGATCCCGAGATGACTTGTAACAAAAATGTGCGAGAGAAATTAATAAAATAACACCAATTCTCAAGGTAAAATGGAGGTTGCGGGTACATCATTTCGACACGTATGAACGAAAAACCAGCTCTGACAAACCCCCATAGTAAAAGTATAGATGACCTTGCCCAGTTAGATGTAAATATATTGTTATGAGAAAAGGTCTGAGTCTGGTCAGACACCTGGTGAATCGTCCTTGATTCTCGTGGTCTGTCTTCTTTTATCTTGGAGCCCGCATTCCATTTCCCCATCCTACCCCCCCCCCCAAAGTTTGTTGGCACGCTGAGAAGCAATCATTGTTGCACCAGCAAAGCCAGCTTCAAGCTTCACACTTATAATTAAAAGATGACGGTTTCTGTCTTTAAAACCCAGCCCGGCTTCGTTGGAGCAGAAGCGTGTGGGAGAATGGAAAAATTGCCGCTCTGCGGGCAGACGATGGGATTTGCAAAGAGATGAGAAGTGAATTGCAGATATTTAGCCCCCCAATTAATTTCCTGTGCCCCAAATGTATAAATGGTCTGAGAAAATTAGGGGAGCAATGTCATTCGCTCTGTTATTTGTCTTTATGACCATTGCTGTCATATTAACTGTAAGGCTCCTGGCTGGGGTATGACTCAGCCCAGATTAAAATAAAACCTTTCAGGTCTGCTAATTTAAAAACATCGGGGAGGCCTGTCTGGCAAAACTGGGCTTTTAAATTAGGGACAGGATGTCTCCAGCCAGCCCATTAATGCTTCTCCAAATCTCCCTGAATCTATTTATCCCGTGACAGGCGTGGGAATAAGGTTGGGGCCACTAATTACAATAATGGCCAATCTGGATGGAGATAAATGCTTGGGACAATAATTATTTCAGTTTTCTGGGAAAGATGGCCAGGAGACTGTGACATCTGATGCTGAAAATAAAATGGATTTGCAGTCCTTCCAAAAAAATGGCACCTTCCTTCAGTTTTAACAGGGATTGTCCGTGGAGGTTCTCCGTCACCCGGGTCACGGTCGTCCCAAAGGTTCTTTTTTTCAAGAGGCAACTGGACTTTCTTTGTTTTCTCTTTGAAAGTTGTTTCGCTTCTCATCCAGGAGGCTTCTTCAGCTCTGACTGGGTGGTGGGGAAGGGAAGGATTTATAGTCCTTGCAGACCGCTGGTCATTTGCATTCTCTCTGAGAGCCCTTGAGGCGACTGGAACAGTCTTCTTGGAACTGCTGAGGACACCATCTACTGTACCTCCAGTCCACCACCCCGTCCCTTCAGCAGTTCCAAGAAGTCTCCACACCCCTTTGCCCCACTCAGGTGACTCTGGGGACACAGGTAAACCTCCAGGTGGCCTCAACGACTCTCTAAAAGAAGGCAAACGACCAGCTGTCTGCAAGGAGTATATATTGCATGTGTGTGTGTGTGTGTGTGTATTTATACACACATATACACATACATATAGTCTATTTCCAACTGATTCATATATATCTATATATACTCTCTCACGCACTCTCTTCCTCTCTCTCTCTCCTCCGCTCTCTCTCGAATTCTCTCCCTCTCTTTCTTTCTCTCTCCCTCCCTCTTTCTTTCCCTCTCCCTCCCTCTCTCTCTCCCTTTCTCTCCCCCTCTCTCTCTTTCTCCCTCCCCTTTATTTGTCTCTCTCTCTTTCTTCCTCTCTCCCTCTCTTTCTCCCTCTCCCTCCCTCTCTCTCCTCTCCCTTCCTCTCTCCCTCTCTCTCCAATTCTCTCCCTCTTTTCCTCCCTCCCTCTCTCTCCCTCTCTCTTTCTTCCTCTCTCCCTCTTTCTCCCTCCCTCCCTCTTTCTCCTCCCTCCCCCTCTCTCCCTCTCT